GAAATTTTTTTCAGACATATGAGGCTGCCAAGCAAATGAGAAACAACCAATCTTACTGATTGCTGGAATCGATCGAGTGAGACTAAGGTTGTAGGATGGGACGATCAAAACTGTTGATCAAATTCGACATGTTCCAGACTTGAAAATGAATCTTGTCTCGCTAAGTGCCCTGGATGCAAAAGGGTATAAATTCTCTAATAGAGGTGGAGTTTTGAAGGTCGAAGGGGTGTCCGGATTGTATTGAAGGGACGAAATAAGTCTTAGTTGTACATCTTGTAGGGGAACGCAGAACTAGTTAAGAGATATTTGGTCAAGTTCGGTACCGTGGTGGATATTTAGTTCGATACAGTACCTCTTGTGATGGGTTTTAGGTCGGTTCAGAACATTGTTCAAGGGAGCGTTAGTGATTTTTCTTCGCCATCAATTTCAAGGGTTGCATGTGTTCAAATGTCAGGGGTGGACTCATGGAGCGTAGGTACAATGGTGTTATTGATGTTTATGATACTTTTGGGATCATTGAGGGTGACAGTTCTAACAAGTGACCTTCTGATCAAGCACTTGTATGATTTCTGCTACAAGTTGTGCTTTGATCCTGTGTGGTCAACAGTGATTTCTCGGTGGAATTTTGAAAAGCTGGGATTTGGGTTCGAGTGTCGCTTGTGGACGGCGTGCAGAGGATGATGGTTTGGTGACAAAGAGTTTTCGTTAATGTGTTGAGGAGATTGTCCAGTTCATTTCGATAGATTTGAAATCTTGGAGTTTCATTCGTTGCACTGGAATTTTTGAGTCAAGGTGGAAATTGTTAAGGGTGTGCCTCAAAATTAGGTTTTGGATTCTTCAAGATCACGTATGAGATTTGGAAAATCAATTGAATCTAAAATTAAGGAAATAAAATATGGGCTCCGATTTTTTCGTTTTACGTGATTTTCCTTAATTGTAACCTAATTTCTTACCTTTTAGGATCCTATTAGGGTTATAGACGTGGCCTATAAATTAAATGCTCCTCTGTTAGTTTTATAGAAGTTCTTTTGTTGTTCAATTGTAATTTTTCCATATTGTCGGGTTTAATAAAATTCATCGTTCCTCTACTTAGTTTCTCTTTTTCTACTTTACTTTAATATTGTTTTCATTGTGCGATCTTAAATATTTCATTATTGTCATTAAATCTCAATCTTACGTCGCCTTTGGACTCAACATAGATTTAGTGTAATATAGTTACTTTGAATCTAATTGTTTTAAATCTTCTGGAAATAACAATGAACTTATTGAAATGACAAAAAAAATTACGAATAATTTAATTTTTTGGAACCAATTTGATTCCGACTAAAATGTCCAACTCTATGATTAACTATAAATTTATTGAAAATAATGCAAAATTGGTTGTTTTCTTTTCACTGCGAAGGTGAAGTTAATTTATACATGCTAAAACTGAAACCATAAGACGAATTTAGAAGTGCGACATACAACTTGACATTAAATCAAAGAAAGTAAAACACCTATACACTAGTTTTGGATTGTGATTGCCCTGTTGAGCAGTTGGCTCTAACATCATATCGATTATGAGAGTTTCATCTTAATTAAAGGTCACGAACCTTATTAATGAGTGTAACTTAAACTCTTATATGTTGAAAATTTGTGTGTGTGTTTGAGTATAAATAGTTCGTAAGCATATTTTCAAGTTTTCATGAAAAGTTAGATTGAGTGACAATGTTAGGCTTAAGATAAAATGTGATTTTGTCGTTGGTTAAAGTTGCTGTACTTTGAATGTGTTTCTTTAAAGTACAATTTCTCATGCTAATGTATAGCCTAGGTTTTGACGTGACTAAGTATGATTAAGCAAACTTTAGGACAAATCAAATTTGATATAATATATGCCCTTGTTTGGCGTGTATTTTACTTTTGATTTTAATTTAAATTAAGTCAACAATTAATTTTAATCACATGTTTCATAGGACTCATAATTTTTTAACACACATATCATCAATTTTTATTGAAATCTACTAAAAATCTATTTTTAGTCCCCACCAAATTGAAGTTATATACGTTCAGAAACAATATTCAATAGTCATAATCAATATTTTAAGTGATATATATCGTTTACTTATGGGTAAAGAAGAAAAAGCCATAAATGGAATAAAGGCATAATTTTTTGTATTATGCATAGAGAATTGTGGTTTTATTTTAAAAGGTCAATATTATTAAACGAAATATCGCAATTCCTTACATGTTAGTTTACACTCCATATTTAATCGGTGTGAAATTTTTACCTTTAACATTTTCGACAAGATGGTGACTCAGTTTAGAATGCCATTATTGAAACTTGAATATTCATCTAAACTTCAAACATATCAAGTTGCTCGTTTGAGGTTATAAGACTTCGTTACTATTTATAAAAATAGTCTAAATCCATTTATGTCTATTGACGTGCAACTTGTTAGAGAATTTTCAAAATAATATCATGTTTAGATATTGTAGGATGCATTTTTGAGCTTTCAAGAGTTAAGGTAATGTTCAAGGAAAATTCAAACACGATGGTGGACGGGCAGGACCACGCAGAGCCATGCTAGCTCCAGAACAAGGCGCGAGATGTTGGTATTCCTCATGACTAGTGACTACTGTTCGATATTTTGGCATCTTTTCTCCTGAATTTGGTTATGCAACTTACAAAAATAAGTTGAGAATCTACTGGGTAATTGTAACTCTTGGAAATATTTCGAAACAAATCTATATATAGACTTGAAGTTCCAATGAGGAGACGATGATGGAAATTTACAAGATAGTGATAGTATAGACTCTCCATTGGTTTCTTCTACATTTTCTCCAGACTTCTAGTGCTAAAACTATTTTGTGCATTCATTTCTTGTAAAAAATTTGAACTTCGTTATTTTTCTGCGTTCGAATTGTCTTCATGTATGCACATCGCATGCAACATATTAAGGATTTCGTTGTATCCTAGAGGCTTATTTGCATTGCCAAATGATCACGATTTTACGAGAAGAAATAATGTCTTCAGAAAAGCGATGACACATGCTTTGGAGCTGGTATTCATTGTTCAAGACTTTGCACGTAGTTGTGGTTTAGTTCGAGTTTTGCCATTTTTCAACTATTCTTTCATCCACTTATATTATCAAGTCGACATGGAGGATCTCACCAAGAAAATTTGCCCTAAGTATTTACTTTACAAAATATCTCAGCCAAAGAGACTGATTCAAGTCAGTCCCAATTATCAACTATTTGCATGTTAATCAGAGAAAGGCTAAAGATGCAATGATGGATTGAATGAGATGTGGAGCCACTTAATCATGTATTTAAAACCAACCCAAATTGTTCAAGTATTTTCTGAATCAAGAAATTGAGTCCCGATCTTTCAACCTTAATTATCCAACCGTCTTTATCGATTGAATGATTAAAAGCCGCACACGTGGAGTCTGAATCAAGGGACCGTCTTGCTATCATTTCATAATAAATAAATTAATTAAATTAGTCGTTAGAGACTTGATCGATGAGACTCATTCAGTCATTCTGAAAATATTTTTAATGGTCATTATTAAGAAAAATAATGTTTTGAATAGTGATTTTTTGAGACTATGGTAAAAAATGAGGAATTTTTTTTTTATTTACGTGTAAAATATTTTATTATCTAAATATATGATTGAAAATGAGTAAGAAAATCAAAGAGTTTGTTTTAAAAGAAGACAAAAAATGACTACTTTTATTGGTCTAATGGTCGTGATTGTGTTTCTCTTTCTAATAATACCCCTGTTTGGTAGTAATTTTTCACCCCGAAAAATTAATTTTTTTTTTACTGTCATTTTGCTATTCCAGTAGTCATTTTTTACTTCCTCACTCACAAGTGGAATCCAGTCTAAAAATCAATTCCTATAATTACTACCGAACATGTCCAATATAACATTTTAGAATAGATCTCCAAATCCTAACAAATAGTATCCAAAATTGACATTTACAATATGAATCTCTAAACGTGTGATGAAGATCTGAAAAAAGATGCGAACTCCTAGTAATTACAATGGTTGAAAACGTTTCATAATTGACTTTCGAAGTAGTTGATAGAGAGCATTGATGCAATGAAAGAGTCAAACTGAACTTGATCGTATGAGCCTGCGTAGCTTTGAAGAGGAAAATGTCCTGCGTACAGGGAATTTTTTCACAAATGTTCTACAAGGCAGTCACATGAGGGTGGGTTCCATGTGAATATTTTATGGGGGTAGGTCTCACTGTTGTGTGTATTCTGTATAAGTGTAGCACTGTCCCTTTGAAGAAGATGAGTGGACAGATATCCGCACAAATGGTCTAAAATGATGTGACACATAATACTATATTGAACAAAAGTTTAGACATGGAGTTGATATTGTAATGGATGTTTTGATGTTAAACAAAAAAAAAAGGAGGAAAGAAAAATCTAAAGTAGGAAATTGTAAAATCATAAGCATATTATCACGCAAATTATTTAGAAACTAGAATTTTACTTTAGTAGCCTCAGAAAAGCAAAGATTTATTTTTTTTTTTATTTTTTTTAAAAAGAAGATTGCTTTCTCCGGCCATTCCCCACTCATATAATTCCACTCATTATGTTTGTTGCTTAAAGCTTGCATTCACTCTTTTTTCTCTCTCACCTAAAAAATATTATCAAAAAGAATAATGCTATTTTGATCGAAAAATCTCGTCAGATGCGGTGACGAAAGATGTTGTGGTGGAAGTTGATTGGTTGGAACAGGAACATTCCAATAATAAAATGTCATATGGCATTACGTTGTTTTTGTAGCATGATTGTATAAAAAAAATCCAATTGTCAGCTCCAATCTCAAAAGAAATTGCAAAAAAGCCAGGTTCACCGAACCCGGCTTCTGTACACACGGAAAATTCCATTGCAAAAATCNCTCCAATCTCAAAAGAAATTGCAAAAAAGCCAGGTTCACCGAACCCGGCTTCTGTACACACGGAAAATTCCATTGCAAAAATCCAACTCAATACTTATAATTAGAGAGAGAAAAGACAACCTGGCTTCTGTACACATGGAAAATTCCATTGCCAAAATGCAACTTAATACTTATAATTAGAGAGAGAGAAGACCCACAAAACCTTGAATTCAGGGTCATCTTGCAGAAATAGATATAGACAGTCAGACAGATATATAATTTTACTATATAATCATGGATGCCGATAGTGGTAATGGAAATTCTAAGCGCAGGCCAAATTTTCCACTGCTATTGCTTGGGAAAAGAGAAGAAGAGGCATGTTCAAGCTCAAAGAAGGCCGGAACCGGTTCAGAACAGCCCAAAAAGCCGCCGACAAAGAGAACTACCACCAAGGATAGGCACACCAAAGTGGACTGCCGTGGACGGCGGATCCGTATGCCTGTAATTTGTGCTGCTAGGGTTTTTCAGCTTACAAGAGAGTTAGGTCATAAATCTGAAGGTGAAACCATTGAATGGTTGCTTCAGCAGGCTGAGCCGGCGGTGATTGCCGCCACCGGTACTGGAACTATCCCTGCAAATTTCACTTCATTGAATATATCAGTTAAGAGTTCAGGCTCCACCATTTCGGCGCCGTTAAGGAATAGTTTCTTCAATCAAAATTACCCGGTTAGCTCTCAGTTGAGGACCACTGAAGAATCACAGAGGAAATTTTTGTTCCCTGAGATTGGATTATCATCTGAGAATGAGACGACGACAGTGGAGGGAGAGACCAGCATGGGAAGAAGACGGCGGCCGGAGGAAGATCTGCAACCACTGCTTCAAACACAAATGGGGAGTCATAATTATATGTTACAATCAAGCACAAGTTCAATCCTGGCGAGTCAAGGCCAAAATATTCCGGCGACGGCATTTCTTATGGTGACAAATTCTAATAGCCAAATGATGAGTAGTAGTACTGGTAACTCTTTGTGGCCATTGGGAAGTTCAATGCATAGTGGTGGATTACATTTTATGAATTTTCCTCCACCAATGGCACTCTTGCCGGGACAACAACTGGGCGGCACTGCTGGTGGTGGTGGTGGTGGTGCGATGGTGGATGGCCATTTCGGCATGCTTGACGCACTCAATGCTTTTAGGGCAATTCCAAGTAGTAGTGCACCGTCGTCAGATGCACAATCAAGCGATCCTGACCATCCAAATCATAGGTTTTGATTCTTGAAGGTAAATCTTTCGATATATTTGCTCGAGTGTAGAGTTCGATAAAGCCAACATTTTTTACTCGAACGCTAAAGCAGTATTTAGGGTTTTTGGAGAAATATATAAAGAATGGTATGGTTATTGATTGCTGTATATTGCAAAGATTTCTTATAGTATGTGAAGAATGATATTGACTTCAAGTTATATTTTAATTTTATGCTGTTCTTTCAAACTTTAGGTGGTAGTTTTACAAAAATTTTGCTTAAATTTTAGTACTTTTTTACTGGTTAAACTTCAATTTTAACATTATATTTTATCAGACCCACAACTTTTCAATTACATATTTATCAACTTTTATCGAAATATCAGAGTCGGCCCTGGCCC